ACACAGATCTACAAGTCAACTGCTTAATACCAACTCAATTTTTAAATCACTTGAGTATAATCTGATAGGACAAAAAAATAAAAATAAAAATCAGGAAACCCAGGCTTAAAAATGATAAATGATTTGCCCAAGTACACAGGAACTGGGAAGAGCAGCATTTAAACCCTTCCTCTGTCATTTAAATTACTTCCATTCCATCAGCCTATTTCTCTGACACTCAAAAGAAAAACCTCCTGATCTGGCAGCAACTTACCTTCCTTCTCTTTTATAGTCCCTCAGCACATCCCAAGTGGATGGATCCCTTCCCATATTTACATTTACTCATGATTCTCCAACTTTTGTATTCTTTATCTTCCTCTTCTCTGTATTTCCATCTATCAAAAATGTTCCCTATCTATCAAAACCCAGTTTCAAGACCACTGTGCCTCCATGAAAACCATACATTTACTCTTTCTACTTTTACTCCATTAAATTCTCTCTTCTCTCTTCCACCACTGACATCTCCTAGTTATTTGTATCCTTATGACAGTTAAAATCTTACCTTATAAGCTTGTTACTGTTTTCTCCTCTACTAGATTAAGTTCTTTAAAGGAAAATACCCTTCCATAACTAAGCAAAGTACTTTGCTTATGGTGGGTACATCATAAGGGAAAGGAAAAACATACACAAATTATTGCACAACTCAGTAGTAAAGAAAACACTGGCAAATAGTACAGAAAACTTACAGAGAGAAGGAAAAAAGAATTAATGTGAGGAAAGTTCTCTAGACCCTGAGTTCCCAACCCCAGCTGGCAATTAGAACCACCCAGTGAGTTAAATTTTTTTTATTCCAGGGCCCAGCCCAGATCTAGTGAATCGAATCATTTACCCCAATAACCTGCAACCTCTGGAGGTAATAGAAAATCAAATTTTTAAAATTTCATGCAATAGCCTAGAGTTGCCTCAGGGATATGTTATACTGGATAGCTTTCATGTTGACTCACCCCAACCATCAAGAATTAAATCTTAATTCCTCTCCCCTGAATCTCTATGTGCTGGGTAAAATTTACCATATCAAACTATTTTTTAATGAATATTCCAAAGTGTTAGCATTTTAAATGCTTGTTATCCTTCAGTGCCTTATTAGCCAGATATGATAAATCAACCCAGTTTAAATTAACACTGACCAAACACACAACTAACATCAATCTACCATATTTCAACAGACTTGGCTTCAAATGACTTAGACTACTTCAAAACCAAAGAGTAACCTTAGAAAATTAGGATCTAATGTTATAAGCCTTTGACAACAAATCAAAGAATTCTACTAAATTAAGAATTATAAGTAACTACTTTGAAGGAGGCAGCTATTGCATGTCCTAGGTACGTGCATCAAAGGTATCACTCTAACATATTCAAAGTATTGACCAGTTAAATGTTATACCTGGAATTTGGTTTTAAAAACTCCTACCAAAAAAGTGTGAAGGTAAATAGCTGAAACAAGAATGACAATGCTTTTTAAATGTCCAAGCTAGATGCTGGGTACACTGGAGATCATTATATTATTGGGTCCATTTCTGTGTATACTTAAATCTTTTCATAATCAATTTAAAAAGATACTACTTTTTAAAAGTTTTGCCTCTTGCCCTAGCTGGTTTGGCTCAGTGATGAGAGTGTCGGTCTACCGACTGAAGGGTCCCTGGTTTGATTCCAGCCAAGGGCTTGTACCTTGGTTGCAGGCTCAGTCCTCAGCCCTGGTTGGTGCTGGAGTAGGAGGCAACCAATTGACGTGTCCCTCTCACATCAATGTTTCTCTCTCTCCCTCCCCTCTTTCCACTCTCTCTGAAAAGCAACAGAAAAAATATCCTCGGGTGAGGATTAAATAAAGTTTTGCCTCTTGAGGATCACTTTAGATAAACAGGAAAAGAGGACATACCTCTCACCTTAAATATTGGTACTGCTATGTAACAGTACTACGTGCCCTCAGATAATACAAAGATTAGCAGTCTTGTTGCTTAAAAAACTAGCATAATATATATAAAAAACCTAAAAGAAAGATCCCCCAAACCAGAATTCCCACCAATCCCTTTTATGCCTCAATGTATCCTTCATTTCATATCCTCAACTGTATTGAGCAATCAGATTTTTAATAATCTGAAGTACTTCTAAGGCTGCAAGTAATTAATGTTCAATCTAAAACATGCACCATTCCTACTGAACTGACATAATACACCCTCCTACCTACTACTTCCAAATAAAGTTGTTGAAGGGCTTATTTTTGACAGGAGGTATACACAGAACTTCCAATTCTAAACCTAACTTCAACTCACTTAGAGATTATTTTTGAACATTTGAAGACTACCTTAAAGGACCAAGAAAATAATACAGATACTTTTTTAAAGAATACTCCAACAAGCCCAACTGATGAGTTACCTCCTTTTAGGGTTTAAGAAAACTTAAAAAAAAAGAAAAAAGGGGGGGGGGACCTTCACTTATGAAAAAGATCCTCAAATCTTCAAAAAGTTGTGATTCAAAACAAATCCAAAGAAAAAGAGAAATTAGTGACCTAATGGGCCAATCTACATTTGGCAAGAATTCAAAGGACCTGCCACTTTGGGATCTAATTTAACAGAATACTGCATATCATTCTAGAGGGGGAAAAATAGTCTTTACTAATTTAATCTCAATAATGTCCAACTACAAAAACCAAAACTACCCACTTCACTAAAGCAAATCTTTCAGTAACACCACCCAAACTAAATATAACTGCATCCATGTAGGGGCATTTAGTTTATCTAAATACCATTGATTTCATATTTAGTTAGCCTATCTATACGGAAAATGCATACAGAATACCTAGCAATAAATAGGAGTTAACACTCCCATTTTAAAAGGCCCGCAGTTCTTCATAACAAAAATCACACAAAACCACCAACCAACCACCTAATGAAACTTATCCCAGAATCTTCTGCAGGTTGTGGGAGATAACACAACCAGATATCCTCTGAGGCTCACACAATGACCACCAGCACAAAATACTCTGGTAGATTTTTCAAGTAATGGTATCTAAAGGGCAGATGGCACAGAAAATAATACCAAGAACACCCAACTCCCCTGGCAGAATTTAACTTATAATTAACCACGTCTTAAGAAACTAAGCATTTCTTTTTTGCCTTGACTTTCCTAAAAACATACAGCTCCTGATTAACTTTAGAAATTGGTTTTACAGAGAGGGAAACATCGATTTGTTGTTCCACTCATCCATGTATTCATTGGTTGCTTCTTACATGTGCCCTGACAGGGGATCAAACCCACAACCTTGGCATATCAGGTCTAGGTTGTATCCCACAAGGACTAGTTAACTTATATTTACTTCCAAAGAGCAGTGCTAGAGAAAAGTGAAGACAGATCATTTTACCTGCCAAGAGTTCTAATCTCCCATAAGGCAATTCTACTTGCTCCCATTTTTAAAAAGAAAAAAGTAAAAGGACATCTGTTTATTTCACTAAATGTCTTCCAGTTTGCAGATAAGGGAAGATATGCAGACTAAGTAACTTGCTTAAAAGTCACATAAATAGCTGCTAGTCACCTCTGAGGCAGTGATTCTTCCAGTGAGAATATGCTAATTACCACATCCCCACAGTATATGCTGCCCCAACCCTGCAGCTGGCACATGACTGCCTAAATGAGTCAGTTAAAAATGGAAAGTGCATGAAACTAACATTGCATGTCAACAAAAATTGGAAAATAAATAACCTTTAAAAAAATATTTTTTAATGGTAATGAACAGTATTTATTAGATGTGTGAATGCATGGGTATGCATTTGCTTGGGGAAGGGGTGAAGGACGAAGGTGGAAGACTGAAAATCACCCTTTTTAAAAGCACTGAAGTTGTAAACTTCATTAAACCTCATTATTTGCTTTGCAAATTTAAAGAAATCTGTTTATGCCATACAGCAAATTTTTCTTTAAGACACAAACCATATTCTAGAAAAATTATTAGCATGGAACTTGGAAGATTATCTGGTTCTTTAAAAAAAAAGAAAAGTATCTTTACTGGTTTCAGAGAGAAGGAGAGAGGGGGAGACATCAATGATGAGAGAGTCATTGATCTGCTGCCTCTTGCAAGCCCCCCACTAGGGACAGAGCCCTCAACCCGGATATGCGCCCTGACCAGGAATCGCACTGTGATCTCCTGGATCATAGGTCAATGCTCAACTGCTGAGCCATGCCGGCCGGGCTCTCATTCTTTTTTTTTTTTTTTAAATATATCTTTATTGATTTCAGAGAGAGGAACAGAGAGAGAGATAGAAACATCAACAATGAGAGAGTCATTGATCAGCCACCTCCTGCATGCCCCTGACTGGGGATCGAGCCCGCAACCTGGGCATGTGCCCTGACCAAGAATTGAACCCCGATCACCTGGATCCTAGGTCGACGTGCAACCACTGAGCCATGCCTGACCGGGCTCGTTCCTTTTTAACATGGGCTTTGGGGCTATGAAAAGGATAGCCTCCCAAGAGCCTGGTCTCTACAGTGCTGTGTTTACCAATATAATTTGTCTAAATTATTTTCTAGTTACCATTCAGCACTCATTATCCCTAATCATTTTAAGCAAATTATAACTATCAAGTAAGCTCACTAATGATGTAAAAAGCAAATGAAAGGGGACATCTGCTAAAAAAACTTAAGAACTTTTTAAGAGCGTTCAAGAGAGAACATAGCATCATCCCTTTAGGCACCCCTCTTTATTCTCTGAACCAAGCAATAGGTCAATTATACTTGTCTATATAAATGCGTTGAAGTTGCAAAAGTAAACATTTCTTCTAAATTTCAACCATACTATTTCCAAAGACCCTGAATTAGTTTGTTATCAGCTGCTTATCCATATTACTCTCAAGTAAGGTCTAAAATTCTTAAAGAATGTGATAGCAATTTACAAAATTCACCCTTAATACAACAGCTAATAAATATATTACACTGACCAATAAGAACCTTTATATAGGAAACAAATGAGTTACCTTTAGTGTGATATACAATAGCAGCCCTCAGGTCAAAAGAACCCCAGCTATCATTTCTTTCTAGGCCTCTCTGGTATCTCTGTTCTTTGGCGGAGCCTAATAAAGTGTTCGTAGGAGACGCCAGAGGATTTTGATTTTCTATCTCATAGTCCTTTGAGAGAAACACTAAAGCACCTTGACTACTGGTGTCTGCTTTTTGCAGGTCACCTATATGACTGGGTTCCAAGGATAAGGCTCCACTCTCACTAGTAGTCCCAGATTTTAGAATGCTACCCAGAACTTGAGGACTAGTCCGTTTTTCCAGCTCATAAGCCTTGGGAAACACAGGATGCTCAGTTCCTGAGGGGATTATTTCAGCACCCTGTGAAACCAAAGTGGCAGGATATTCCCCTTGAAATGTCACCTCCATCACTTTATGATCTGATGACTTCCCAATAACAGTCTCAGGGCCAGCACTGGGCTCATTTATAAATGATAAACCCCACTGATTCTGGAAGATATCCCCCAGGTTTTGCTGATCTGTCTGAGAGGGTAGATCCACTTGTTGTGCTGTGCTCAACAGCATAGTTTGCATATTTGAAGGGTAGATAAAAAGGCTAGATTTAATTTGATCAACAGCTGCTGAAGTCAGACTCTTATCCTGGAGAACTGAATCAGTCCCAGAAGAGATGGGTGTCAGAGTATTAGCAGCAGTAGTTAGCAGTGGCTGACCCCCTGGAGAATACACACTTGCATCAGTCCCTGCTAAAACAGGCCCATTAGAAAAGTTGGCTGAAGTAACAGATTTCAGCGCTGACATAGGGACCTGGGATAACCGACTCGAAGATTGGGTCTGATTTTCCCCAGTAGATGACGAAGAGGATGAAGATGAAGATGGTGACACAGAAGAGTTCTGTACAGTTTTGTTGAGGTTTTCCTTAACTTTGCTTGCATAACTTATTTTAGGAACTATTTTAGCACTGCTATTGTCCACTGGAAAAACTGGGGGTGGTTTAAATAGGGTCCACGAGTCCTCTTTGGAGGCAACAGCCGAAGCATGCTTTCCTTTAGGCCGATCATCAAACTTCTTGCTACTCACACCAGGTTTAACATCAGAGCTTTTCCGCAGCATATCACCCACAGCTGGTTTTCCTCGACTTGTTCCTCCAGGCCCAGTTTCATACTTCCAAATGGGCCTCGAACCATCTACTCGATTTCCCTTTTGTTCACTGTAGTCAGGCTTGAAAGCTTCAAGTCCCTGTTTTAAGGTTGGGACACTGGTCTCTTGTTGCATTATTTTGTCCTGCACTAAATTAAGGTTTTCACAACCCTTGGCACTATTGCGCCTAGCTTTCCTTTTTTTAGGAGTGGTATATCCGCTCTCAGATCCACTACCATCATTATCTGCTCCTTTGCCCATATAACCATTAGTAATATAGCCAGAATTATTTGTTACAACACCATTTGGAATTGCTACAGTATCACTCTTATCTACAGACTGGTTCTCTCCAGATTTATTTTCATATGACTTTCCATTCTTTTTGTCCATACTGTTTTTCTGAATGAAATTCCTGGTTTTAATTCCTGCTTTCCCAAAGGTGCTGGACTTTATAGTCGGCTTCAGGTTAGTGTCTACAACTTGTTGGTTGCCATTGAGGACCCTGGAAATAGGGTTGGTAGCTTCATCAGAACCGAGGTTCTTTAAATGTATTTCTCTTTCTCCAGCATTACCATTTAGTTCACCATAGCCTAGGGAGGGGAAAAAAAAGGTTTTTAAAAATTACAATATACAAATTACAGTAGTACTTAACATTTAAGGAATGTTTATTTACTATGTGCTAGACACTATGCTGAGCTTTAGCGTTATATGTTCTATTTCACAGTTGTCTGAAAAGACACTTGTCAACCCCAATTTATAGATTAGGAAGTCAACTAAGCAAAGACAGGACTAAGCAGGGATTCATCACAGATCAACCTCTCCATCATTCTCACAAAACTGTTATAAAATTTCCTTTACAATTAAGAGCAGAGCTACCCTGTGGGCAAAACTGTTATACTGATACAGTAATTTTAAGTATTACAGGGAAATTAAAGACTCCATTTCTATGAAACCATAAATGATGGATGGTGACCATAAGCAGTTTCTATTGCATTCTGTCAAACAAAAATCTAACACCTGTGAACTTTTTTTCAAAGTAGTTAAATTCATTTTGACACTTCCCAGACATTAGATCATACTTTTTAGCATGAAACCAAAACACTTATTATACTAATGTTTCTAACTCTAAGATATATTTTCTTCATTTTACATTTGGGTAAACAGATTCTCAGAGAAATTAAGTAATCTGTCCAAGTCACAAAGTGGAAGAACTGGAAATATCAACTTCCAGTCTGTCTGAAACATGGTTTCCTATTACTATGTCATACTGCCTACCCAAATGATGCAGTAAGAAAATATTTACAAACAAAAACTTCAGTGAAAGGTAACTATTTTTAAAAAATGTTATGGTATTCACGTTTAAGACCTTCAACTGCCATAAGCAATTTATTACTGTATGTGATTCAAATGAGTCCAACCTTTCCCATTTCCTTACTAGTAAAATGATGATATTAGTTATCTACCTTTCCATGAAATGTTACCAAAACATCTTGAGCTCAAGTCATTAGAAACAAATACACAACAGAAAGATACACACACACACACACATTCATTCAAGGCAGGGGGTGGGTCTCTAACAGGAATACCAAAAAATTTGCCTTTGTCACTTTCATTCACTCTCTTGGGCTTTTAATCTGTGAAGGTTAAAAGGCACATGAGTTTGTATATTCTTAGGTTTTGAAATTTTGTTTTAATTTCTAATATAGTAAATATCAATAGATATATAGTTCCGGAAAGCTGTTCAGGAAGCAATTTGTTCAAAAACTGAATCATTTTTCCCATTAGAAATGTCAATTGAATAAATCTGTTCCAGATCCCCAAATAATTCCCTTTTAACCTTTCTTATATACAGTATATGCCTAATGTACTGTTTAACCTATAAATAAGCACGTCTTTTCTTAAATTTATTGAACTACCCCCTACTAGCCTTAAACAAATTTTTCATATATCACTGCCTCCAAAATGCCACCAGCGGCTGCTTTCTGTTCACCCAATCAACAACAGTTTTCCTATCTACTCAACTGCCAGTGATTGTTGTTTTGTGAGCAATTTCACACCCTTAGCAACATTAGCACTCTTGATAGCCTCTTTATGTTTTAAAATTGTACTAATCGTTTTGCCACAACAAAAGCATTCTCTCCTTTGTTGCCTGAGAGATGTTTTTTGCTGTGCTGACATATCAGCATGAAAAGATTGTCAGGCAGAAAACTGAAGTTTTGGTCCACAACCAAGGTTTTACTGTATAAAGAATACTAAGATTGAAAAGAAATTTTGGGAACCATTGTTTTAAAAGAACTTGATGTGGAATAGAACAGTCTGGGAAGATTCACAGAAGGGCTTACTTTTAAGTTATTCATTCTACATCAGAGAAAAAGGTGGGAATACTGAAATGAGCACAGAAAAGCATTTTCTTCTACTGTATTAACTTTCAGGAAATAACCTAACAAAAAATACTTAAGACATAATCATTTCCTAAGAGTGGCACAAAACTTGTACAATGAGAATATATTCTATAGAAGTTGTACTTTATTTTTTGGCTGCTGAAAAAGCTGTATTAGCTAATCAAGTCAAACTTGGTGTAAAACTTCTAACTATGAAACAGTAAAAAAGGGATCATTGCTTAGGATGCTTTTCTAAATTTTTTGTTTGTTTTAGAAAAGCAGAAAGTCCCAACAGAGAGGCTCTCAACATTTTCAACAGATACAAGTTTACCTGTGTACAACTCCAGGCCAAAGAGAACTACCCATAGCATTTAACATGCTAACAGGCTAACAAAGGTTTGTACCCTTGGGCCCATTAGTCATAACTTTCCAGATCTCAAAGGTAAGTAGTCTTAAACATAAAAAAAAAAAAAATCCAATGTCCAAACCAAGTTGGACCAAAGCCAAGATTTTTAAGTGAACTAGAACAATTGTTTTTAAGATTACTAATATTTAGTGCCTCTGATGTCATAAATCACAGTTAAAAACCAGCTTAGAAGCCACTATGCTTCCACCTCCAAGTTTTAATGACAAAAAAAATTTCTCATTTAACTATATAAAATTTTCCCTGTGGTAATCTTGGCATACAAAAAGTTTGCCAGAGAGAGGTTTTCTTTTTAAAATTCAGGTATTCAAGAAAAATGTAAACACTAAAATTACTGAGAAAAACTCCCCCTCTCCTCCTAGTGCTTTCATTATTCAGGGATGCCATGCTAAAAAGCATCTAACCCTACTTCAAAAGGACTCAGCAAAAGTTGAGTCCTGATAAATCTAGCTTTGGTTAGAAACTGAAATTACTGAGTACATTTGGCCCTCTTTTGCGCCCTCTTCTGGATAAAGAAAAACTGTTCCTTTATGGGCTTGTGAGTCATAAAAGCCCACCCCAACATATTGCAGATATATTTCAAAAACCCTCACTAAGTTTTTCTTAGTAAATTAGCATTATGCATGTTGAAGCAACAGTACTGTGACCTGGCCACACATGAAGAACTGCTCCTCCCAAATTGTTTATATTCTTTCACAACTGCTAAACCCAGTTTCTCCTCTTTATCCCTTCCAGGAATAAAACACATTAATTTGAAGGATGTCACTTTGAATGGTACTGGAGCTGCTTCTATGTGTAAAGAGGAGTCCTGCAGGGGTATATTAATATCTGACTGACAAAATACTGGTCAGTAATATTGCCTTATATTCCAAGCAACCATAATAAGGTAAGATTTTCTCACCTTCAAGTTGAAAAAGACTAACATTAAAAAGATCTAGTGTTGCACAGTTTCTTCATTTTTAAATCCTTAAGATTAAACACAAAACATTTATGTTTATTTCTAATGCACACCGTCAGTCCCTACCACCCCCCAAAACGGAAAATGACATTTCCATTTCAGTCTTCAAGTCACATTAAGTCTGCCATAGAAAAAGTTTTTTCCTGCTCTCAGTAACTGCATGTATCACATTTGACATGCGTGGTCATAAACTTTTTAAAGTTCATTTCTTCTCAAACATTTTCTAAAATGGCTTTTACCCTCAATTTAACATTTGTTAAAACAGGAGTTTGGGAATCAGTATCAGTTCGAAAATGGGAAAACACCTTTCCTTTCAATGTGGAAAAAAGCCTCATCAGAGGCAACATAGTGAACCAACCTCACGGATGAGTTCAAAAAAACTTGCCCTCTCCCCCATACAATCAAACATTTTTCAAATCTACCTCCTCAAAAATACTACCCAAGCCCAGGACGTAAATTGGGAGGCGAGGGGGGGGGAGGTTGGAGGGAGTTAGAACAAGCTTATTTTGTAAAAATGAGAAGCTAGAAGGAAAGGGCCCAAGTGAAAGCCTGAGAGGCGGAGTCGTGAGCGAACCTGGCAGGAGACAGGGTTCCTGTGGCAGAGAAACTCGTGACCGGGGAGCCCGGTTCCCGCTGAGTACCCCACCCGGCCTTCAAGCACCGCCTCTACCCAAAATGTATCCCCCGCACCCTCAGCCCTCCAGCCCGGAGGAACGCCGCGGACGCCGCCCGCCGTCTGCGGCCTCCTTCTCCCCCCAGCTCCGCTTGGAGACCGGCTCCCC